ATGAAAATAGATTCACATCTATTGCCGTGCACAAAACTCAGGTCCAAATGGATCAAAGACCTCAACATAAAACCAACCACACTGAACCTCATAGAACAAAAAGTGGGAAGTACATTTGAATGCACTGGTGCAGGAAACCACTTTCTACGTATAACCCCAGTAGCACAGACACTGAAAGCAAAAAGAATTGCTAAACAGGACCTCCTGAACCTGAGAGGCTTCTGTAAAGCAAAGGTTATAGTAAACAAGACAAAACGGCAGCCTACAGAATGGGAAAAGATCTACACCCACTCCACATCAGACAGAGGGCTGATCTCCAAAATACACAAAGAACTCAAAAAATTGGTCATCAAAAGAACAAATAATCCAATAAAAAATGGGGTACAGACCTAAACAAAGAACTCTCAACAGAGGAATCTAAAATGGCTGCAAGACACTTGAGGAAATGTTCAACATCCTTAGTCATCAGAGAAATGCAAATCAGAACAACTTTGAGATTCCATCTTACACCTGTCAGAATGGCCAAGGTGAAAACCCCTGATACCAACTTAAGCTTGAGAGGATGTGGGGTAAAGGGAACACTCCTCCTTTGCTGGTGGATGTGCAAACTGGTACAGTTGCTTTGGACATCAATATGGCAATTCCTCAGAAAATTAGGAAACAACCTTCCTCAAGACCCAGTAATACCACTTTTGGGTATATACCCAAAGGATGCTCAACTGTGCCACAAGGGCATGTGCTCAACTATGTTCATAAGAACTTTGTTTGTCATAGTCAGAACCTGGAAATAACCAAAATGTCCCTCGACCCAAGAATGGATGAGGATAATCTGGTACATTTACACAATGGAGTACTACACAGCAGAAAAATATAATGGCATCTTGAAATTTGCGGGCAAATGGATGGATTGAGAAAACATCATATTGAGTGAGGTAACCCAGACCCAGAATATATGTTCTCACTCTTGAGTGACTTTTAGACATAAAGCAAAGAAAAATCAGCCTACAATTCACAATTCCAGACAACTTAGACAACAAAGACGACCCTAAGAGAAACATACATGGATTTAACGTACATGGGAAGTAGAAATAGACAAGATCTCCTGAGTAAATTGGGAGCATGGGAATTATGGGAGAGGGTAAAAGGGGAGGGGAGAGCAAGGAAGGGGAGCAGAGAAAAATATATAGTTCAATAAAAACAATTTAAAAAAAAAACAAACAAATTCCTAGCACCCATGTAAAAGCCAGGTTGGATGTATCCACCTGCAGCCCCAGTATTGTTGAGATCAGGAACAGAACTGCTGGGGCTTGCTGGCCTCCAACCACCTCCAGAGTCAGTGAAAGCCCTGTCTCAGGGTATAAAGCTAAACATGATAAAGCAGGACTTATGGCGTCTTCCTTTGGCCTCAGAATACAGACATAAAGCACCTGCACATATCTGAGTGCATACATAAAGCACACACATACATACACACATACACACACACATACACAACCAGGAACAGACTTATCCCCAAGTGACAAGCGTCTGTAAGCCCAGCACTAGAGAGTCATGGGCAGTAGGATAATGAGTTCAAATTCCAGCTACATGCAAGACTGCCAGAAAGAGAGAGAGAGAGAGAGAGAGAGAGAGAGAGAGAGAGAGAGAGAGAGAGAGAGAATAGAAGGGAGGAGAAGGAAGTAAAAGAGAAAGAATGGAGGGATGGAAGGAGGGAGGAAGGAGGGAGAGTGGGAGAACAGGAGCAATGGTGCGATATAGGGAGGGAGGTTGAACAAGAAAGAACTGGGACTGGAGAGGTGCCTCAGCAGTTAAAAACAATGAATACTCTTGCATGAAGATTGGGGTTTGGTTCCCAGCACCCACATGACATCCACAGCCGTCTGTTGAGACTAGATCTATGGGATCCGGCACTCTCTTCTGTACTCCACAGTCTCCAAGTAAATGTGTAGTTCTGGGCCTTGCTGGCCTCCTGCTTGGCCCCAGGTTCAGTGAGAGACCCTGTCTTAAGAGACAAGGCTATACATATAGAACAGGACACATGGCATCTTCCTCTGGCTTCAGAGTACAGCCGGGTGCACCTATACACATCTGTCCCCATGCACGCACACACTGGAATCATCTTTTGGCTTCAGAATACAGATGTGTGCACCTATATACATCAGCCTCCATGCACGCACACACTCAGAAAAATACTCAGATAAATCTTTTTTAAAAAATTTAAAAATAAAACAGAAAAGACAAGCTAAAGGCAGACTAAATAAATATATAAAGCTCTCCAAACGGATTGAGAGTTGGATTCAAAATTGCCACCTAGTATCAAGTGTTTAAAAAAAAAAATCTTGTATAAAAAGAACCATTTTCTTTCCTTTCCTTTTGCTTTTAACATTTAAGAAGTAAAATATGAGACACTAGTTCTCTTGGTATTAGTTTATTTTTTTAATTCACGAGCTCTGATTGAGTTTGGGTTTATTACACCATAAGTGAGTGTAGGCAACAATGTAGCCAAGTGTGTGTGGTGGAGAGACAGGAATGTGTGCTTTAATCTGGCTTTCAAACAAACCACTTCTCCGTGTCTCACCTGCAAGGGAATGAGCTAGAGATCTTGGATCTTGGACAATTATGTTCTGATTCACTGAATCTGGGAAACTGCTGAGACTCCAGTTTCTAACAGCCTCTGGTTATGTCAAAGCTTCTGTCTTAGGGAGGCAGGATTTGAGGAGCCTTGAAAGTGCCTTGAGCTGGGCTCAGTATGATGCTGTTCTTGGCTCTTGTTCATTAGCACTGAACTCAGCAGAGCATCGCTGCACCGTGCCACCATGGTCCATCTCCATTCTCAGCAGGTCCATCTGCTTTCCTTTATGCAACTCCAGTCAGAATGCAACATGTGGTAGTTAAGTGGAGATCTTGTACAAGAGACTTCTGATGGATTATCAGATTCCTACAACTCCCCAAGACTGGTACCATGATTAGTCTGATGTTATAGAGAGTAAGAGTTCACCCTGGAGAAGTAAATCCATACCAGTAAGTACAGAAGGATTCAGAATCCAGTGGGTAGACCAGATGTCAGGCTCTCAAGCATCTACCTCCTCCTTCCTGACTCATGTCCCATTCTCTTCCGCTGCTGCATCAGAAGCATCATACAGGTGACTGCTTTACCCTACGATGCCGATAAGTTGATAAAGTGTTCTTCCATCAAAACTCCAGGGATCTGGGCTGAGGATCCAGCTCAGCGAGTAAATTATCTACTGTGGAAGAGTCAAGACCTGAGCCTGGATCCCTAGGATGCACGAAGAGCCTCATGCATAATTCTGTAATCACAACATTCCTAAAGCCAGACAGGAGATGTAGACGGAAGAATCTCTGGAAGCGGCATGCCAGAAGAACAAGAGGCCCTGTCCCAAGCAAGTAAGGTGGAAGGTGGGGATCCACACTCAAGGTTGCCTGCACACATACTCTATGGCTCTTGCTCAATCACGCAAGGATATGCACACACATGAACATGCATACATGAATACATCACACACAGAGAGAAGGTGATAAAGAAGCTACAGGGTCACAATTAAAATTCAAATTTCCTGGGATCCCGTCAAACAGGGAGGGGAGCATTTGATATCAGTACTGAAATTTTTATTTGTTTTCAGGAAGCAATATCAATTTGTAAAAGATAATCAAATGCTTCTCAGAACCCTAGGGCACTGTCACTTCATCAGCAGAATCCCTGTTGTTCTCCCCACGAGGATGGCAGACATTCCCTCAAGAACTTTCCGAAAGCCACTATGTGATCAATTATATTTATGATCTGAGTACAAACTTGCATTATTATTATTATTATTATTATTATTATTATTATTATTATTATTATACCAAAGAGACCCTAATTCTGTGCAGCTAACGAAAATGACTGTGGTTGGGATTTAATGTATCAAAAAATATTAGTAATAATAAATAATATAATAAAACAGTGACTACAAAGTATGTTTGCACAAAGAATCTGCAAGAGGCTCTGGCGTACACCAATAAATTTATTCTGCAGAGAGTCTGATAAACCAACTTGAAATTCACTGAGTATTGGAACTTGGAGCTGTTTCTCAGGAGAGTCTAATGTACAGTCACAGTTGTGCATCATGGAAGAGTCCCCCCCTTTTTATCTACAATTTGAAGGGGAGGGGAAATGGAATTCAGATGAACTCGGATAAGAAACGGTGGCATCTGAATGTTCACGGGTCCTTCATGGAAGCTGGGTCTTTCCTGCACTCATGAACATCAGTTGATAGCCCACTGACGAGCTAGCGGCTGAGTTTGCTCTCATTGATACGCTCATGGCATTTAGATGGTTATCACAAGACCTTGTTCTCAGTTACCACTGTGAGGATGCTATAATTGTTTAACGGGTGTGCTGTAGAGTTAATTCAACAATACCTAATTCATCAAGAATACTACCTGTCTGTTAGGACAGCTCTCCGTTATCACTGTGACGATTGTATCCATGAAAAACCGTCTGATTTGACTGTAACTTGTGCATTTTACACGGCTCACTCCATTCAGTGTAGCCTGCAGCACGAGAAAGTATAGAAGCCTGCTCCAATAGGGTGCCCTACCGAGCTGGGAGGTGGCATTTGCATCCAAGGCCCTCCCAGGCGGGGACACCCTGGACCAGAGCTGGCTCTTGTTTTCTCCCCCGTTTCCGTAGATAAGGTTTAGCCTGAAAAGCAGTTCAACCCAGAGAATAGGATGAGCTTTCTCTTTCCCCTCAGCTGCCTCTTGCTCTTGGCATTTTGGAATGCCAATACTGCCAGGACAGTAACTCGAGCCTTCAAATTAATCAAAACACACAGCGCCCAGTTCAAGCCCTGGCAGAGAAGCCTTGGAGCCAAGCAAGCTCTCCTCTGCTGACCCCAAGGCCACAACTGCTCCATCCACCACCCCTTAGACGCCACAAAGCTTCTGCTCCCAGGCAGGTGCCCTGGTGTTGGGGCAGTGCCTGCCTGTGGGCGGCTTACCTGAGCGAACAATCCGGCAGAAAATAAAACTGCAGACTAGCAGACAGACTTGACACGCGCCTCACAGTTGTGGCTGGAGGGAATCCACCCGCGACCGTGTTCCTCTCCACTGCCTGTTCAGCGTCAAATCTATACGGTGGCTGTGAGTTGAAGGCCATCAGCAGATGTGCAACCGCGGGAGCTGCCAGCAAACCTGGCCCCAGAGTCGCAGACTCCCGCGCGCCTCCAGCTTAATCTGGGCAGGGCTGCTGGCCACTCCCTCCACCCTGTGCAGCCACCTCCCTACCGCAACCCCTAAATTCCTCACACTGACCCGCACTCGCAAAGCCCCAGAGTCCCAGGAGCGCAGGGAATCACCTCTTTCACCCTGACCCTGGATCAGCGCCCACCTGCCTGCTCTGAGGGCGCCCAACCCTTTCTCACTTCCTGGGCACGATGCCCGGTTGAAGGGACAGTGCCTGGCGAGCTGGGAGGGGGAACGAGGGCGGGACCTAGGCCACTTCTTCCCTCCCTTAGAGTCAGAGTCAAAAGCTTGGGTGAGGACAAGCAGACCGCGGTGGGTCGAGCCCTACAAAACTCGCCCCAGTAGGTCAGCAAGCAAGGCGAGCTTCACAACGGCGCCTCCCCAATCTGTGCCCCTCTCGGTACATGGAGGCCTGAAAGTTCGTGGGTCCGGTGGATCCCTGGACACACTGGGACTCAGGACCAACGCCCATTATGCACTCAGAGAGTGCTCCAAGGTTCCAAGTGCTCCTGCTTCCTGTCCTGCTGCTGCTCCTGGCCACACCGCCTGTGGTTAGCAAGGTGAGTGACTGAAGGGGCTGAGCGACCCCACTGCTGCTTGGACCTATCCTGGGAGGAACAAGCCAGTCCCACTCACTAGGGCTCCATCGGGTCACTATTTGGAGGGTTGCTCAGCCCCGGACACCGCCTGAGTTCAGGGATGGCAGAGCAGACGGGAGGTGGGTGGGGGGAAGAGGGGCAGCCCCGGGAAACAGGTGGAATGTGCAGTGCTGGTAGAAGTGGGGAGCCGGCCAGCTTTCCAGGACCACAGGGATCCCAGACGAAGGAGAACTGCTTGCAGAGACTGGTAAATGGATACCAATAGACAGGTTATGGATAGGGAATGTTATAAGGTAACTAATAGATTATAAATATAAGTTACGTAAGATAGGCAGGTGATGATAAGTAGAATGATGATAGGTAAATGGGTACTAGATGGATGGATAATAAATGGATGAGTTAGGTAATAGATGATGGATGGATAGACAGATCGATGATAACGATGGTAATGGCCAGGGTACAGGAGGTGTGATGTCAGACCGATGAATGAATAGGTGGTTTGGTTGGCTCAAAGTGCCCAAGCCTGGGAGGAGACACCTCCTTGGCATCTCAACACTGCTCCTTCCTAAACCAGACCTCACCTAGACTCTGACTTTGCTAGAGCTACGTTTTCCTTTGGCACGCTCTGGAAACAAAAGCCATCACTGGAGAAAAGAATCAAGACCTAGAACTTGTATTAGGATGACTCAATTTCTCTTTGGAATTTGAGTGACCCCGTGCTCATTTGAATCTATTCCATAATCTTGGTTCTTTACCTCTAAAGATAAAAATCTCAAAACTGTGAGACTTGTTTTGGCTTGATTTTAACTTGTGAAGCAGAAATTTAACTTTTCAGATGCTTGATGTTATTTTTTATATTTAAAAGTTAATTTGGGTACAGTAAGTTTTGTTTCCAATGATGCGCAGGTGTCTTAAGTCTTACATGACGGCGAGCGATTGTAGATGGTGACAGAGCTACATATGCGTCACCTGGGAACACTTTAAGGGCCTGTGACTACACATAATTCAATTGTTTTCATTCCACTTACATTCTAAGTGAGGCATTGCAGGCATCACAGCAAAGCTAACGCTCCTCTAGACTCCATCCCTCTAGATTTTCCGTTTTCCAACAAATACCCAGACTCGCCTTTTCTGTGGTATTTATTTCCGCTATTTGTGCGCTTCCATACACAGCTGCAGACCATGGCAAACCAGCTCTTGTAGACCAGGCTGGCCTCGAACTCACAGAGATCCGCCTGCCTCTGCCTCCTGAGTGCTGAGATTAAAGGTGTGCACTGCCTCCACTGCCCAGCCATAGTTGTGTTTCTAACAGAACCGCTTCCAGGCTTTAAATGTGTCCATTTGTAACCTATACATCTGTCTGCCCCTGAGGTTAAGATCTACATCGTTTTATCTTTCCACTTTGTTGCATAGTTTTTTAACAATGTGCTAAGGTTAATTGATCTGGCCTCCCACCGTTCAGTCACATGAAGGTGACTTAGCCTTTCTGTACATGCATTCTCAAAGATTTTTGGAATCTATGTAAGGCGACTCTAGCAATAGCACATTTTTCAAGGTTAGTGAGATGACCCAGTGCATAAAAACTGACAACAAAATTTCAATTCCTAACAGCATAAGAGAACCAGCTTTTGGTTCTCTGACTGGGTCCTCTCCCTGCCCCCTCCACCGTGAATAAATGAATAAATAAATAAAGAGCAAACCAAGACTAATTTAGCCACCTAGGCTAAGCTAGGTGGCTAATAGCTGCTGGGTAGGATGGTTGCAACTTGTGCAAACCGGTGTGAACTATCTAAGAGCGTTAGCAGAAACCAGTGCTTTGGGAAAGTCTAAAGGAAGTGCATGCTATACAGAGGTCTGGGAACACTCCAGAGCAGTGAGAATAACAATCTTTCTGGACTGAGAAGAAAAACAAGAGTGTGAAGGGACATGGGCCTCTTGGAAGAATCACCCTTGAAAGGTGACACCCTAGGACAGGAGAGACGGTTCATTGTTTAAGAGCAATTGTTGCTCTTGTACAGGATCTGGGTTCGATTCCCACTCGGTGGTTCACCGGCTGTAACTCAAGTCCCAGGGGATCTAATGCCCTCTTCTGACCTCCATGGACAGCAAGCTCACTTACAGCCAAGTACATACATGCAGAGAAATCACACATAAAATAAAATGAGTAAATCTAATTTTTAAAATGTTGTGCTCTATGACCGTAGATCCTCCAGGTATATACCATGTGCGATTATGTTGTGATATTCTTTTGCACTTTACATGTGAAATGATTTTTGTTTTGAGTTTAGGGAGACCAAAACATTGCAATTCAAGTTAATGACTACCACAGTGAATCCATCTTTTGTGTTTCTATGGAAGTTTGAGGTGAGCCTTTGTTAAAAGCATTCAAAGCTGTTGCTTCCATCGCAACAGCTGAAGGAGAGAGAAGAGGTGCCCCTGAGATTATAAAATGATATAAAGTGATCTCAAGTTAACTGAATCCTGGGTGAGGTGACATGTGCCGACATGACTGTACCCACAAGCCAACTGTGACCTTGAGCAGGCCAGGAGGCTACTCTGAATCTCAATCTTTTTGTCTGTGATGTGGGAACGTCGACCTCCCTCCAGTAGCCAGCAGCTCAAGAGCGAGGCAGTGGGGGAGGGGATACTCTTTAGGCACGACTGACTGTTGACCTAATGTGCCACCATCTTTAGGAGAGAAGTTAGGAATCTCGTTTTAATCACAAATGAATCGTATTAATAATACCAACTGATTTCAGTTTTACTCAAAACAGAATAACAAGCAGGAAACAAACAAATAAAATCATGGTGAGTCAAACACTGTGTAACTGAAAGCAACATCCAGTCTTTGGGCTGGCATGTGCATAATCTCTGTGCTGTTAGCTGAGGGCCAGCATGTGTGTAATCTCTGTGCTGTTAGC